TCATCTCCTCTCCTCTTTTCATCTCATCTCACCATCTTCTCTTCTCTCCTCTTATCATCTTCTCTTTTCTTCTGTTCTCTTCCCTTCCCTTCCCATGTTGTTATGTTATATATTGTATATAATATTCTTCTTTCTTTGCCATTCAATCTCAAGGCTACTGTTTTACAGATGTGATGATGTAAGATTCATAATTTATCCACAACATGGTGTAACTCCAGATAATGATTTGTGTGTCGAACTCCACATGACAAAGGAGATTTAAGACACAGTCTCCAACCAGCATGTATCCATACATTACCTCATGAAGCTTTTCTATAACTCACAGTTGACCATGGCAAAGATATCTGCCCAGCTGTCAAGGCCTCTAATGTTGCTAAATGAATATATAATGTTACTTAACCTTACTCTGTTTCATTTGAACTATTGCTGAAATGGCTGCCTTAAGCAAATAAGATCAAGGCCCAGCTAATCCACAATTCTACTTCCAAAATGTAGAGGCCACAAGAAAAACATACCATAGTGACATTTAAAAGGAAATCAACGGTGCTATATTTATGGAAAATATTAAATGCTTATTTCTAATCTATACCAAGGCTGAAGTTCTAAACCAAGAAATCTCTAGATCAAAGTTTTCATCTGACTACAAATAACTCGCAATGAAATGTTGAAAACATAAATGTGAAATAGATCCTTTCTTTCTTTCCTTCCTTCCTTTTTTCTTCCTTTCTCTCTTGCTCTTTCTTTATCTCCTTCCTCCCTCTTTCTTTCTTTTTTCTCTTCCTCTCTCTCTCTTTCTTTATCTCCTTCCTCTTTCATTCTTTCTTTCTTTCTTTCTTTCTTTCTTTCTTTCTTTCTTTCTTTCTTTCTTTCTCTCTCTCTCTCTCTCTCTCTCTCTCTCTCTCTCTCTCTCTCTCTCTCTCTCTCTTTCTTTCTTTCTTATATAGATGTAACTAAAACCATATTTTTCCCCTGTAGTATGCTTTGGGTATCATCAAATGCTTTTGTTAGACAACTGCTATTTTTTTAAAAAAAATATTTTATTTTATCTTCATTATATTGTGGTGACCAGAACTGGATGCAGTACTCCAAGTGTGGTATATGATGTATTGGTCTGCCTATCTGTGATTATTATTATTTAAATCACTACTAAATTGTGTGAATAAAAATGTTCCAGCCATCCACTTAAATATATCTTATGAATCTCATTGTTTTCAATGAGATTCACATGGTTTGGAAGGCAGTGTTAGTCTTTTTCTGGACTAAACTAGTTTTTTTTTTTAATGTGCAAATTAAGTTGTTCAAGCCCATAAGAGGTCATGTAGTTGAGACCAAAGGATTTTGTGGCCAAGCAAATATCTATGGGAAGCTCTCCCTCCAAAAAAAAAAAAAAAAAAAGATATACAACCAATTTCAGGCTCATAAAACATCCCTATAAAATGTTCCACTGCATTTATACCCTTGCAAAAACATTATAAAAGCAATTAATCTCTGGAATGCAAGCCAAGCAGCTGAATTACCATTATCTTTTATTCCGCTTTTATCTCTTAGAACCCCCAGTGTATACATTCATTTATCTTCAAGTGTTACTGGACCGCTCAGGTTGAGACAAAAGGGAATTATATTTCACTTGGATTTTCTACTGTTCATCCCTGAGATTCCCTCCTCACCTCACAAAAAAAAGAAGGAATAAAATCTGCCTGAGCTAATCAAATCATTTTAATCCTTTTGTGCCATTAGCGGCCATTGTGCTTTGGGTACAAGTTCTCCAGCAAAGCTCTCCTTGCTAATCGACTGGACGATTGATGTCTGCTAACAAGGTTGCTGGAGGTTTTTTCATCTGATATACCTAAACTGTTCTTGGACATTCCCTTAGGGCCTAAGAAAAATGAAGGCAGGTTATTGAGTTAAAAATGATAGGGAAGATTTGTTGCACAGGTAGTGGATACAGATTAGCAGAGTTGGAAGGGACCTTGTAGGTCATCTAGTCCAACCCCCCGCCCAAGCAGGAGACCCTACACCATTTCTGACAGATGGCAGTCCAATCTCTTTTTGAAAGCTTCCAGGGATGAAGCTCCCATAACTTCTGAAGGCAACTTCTGTTCCATTGGTTGATTGTTCTCACTGTCAGAAAGTTTCTCCTTATTTCCATGTTGAATCTCTCCTTGTTCAGTTTCCATCCATTATTCCTTGTCTTTGGTGCTTTGGAGAATAGCTTGACCCCCTCCTCCTCTTTGTGGCAGCCCCTCAAATATTGGAAGACTTGGTCTCATGTCTCCCCTGGTCCTTCTCTTCACTAGACTAGCCTTCAGAGGTGGTCTTCAGCAGGTTCTGACCAGTTCTGGAGAACTGGTAGTGGAAATTTTGAATAGTTCACAGAACTGGCAAATGCCACCTCTGACTGGAGATTTTACAGTATCCTTCCCCTACCACACCCATCAAGCCACGCCCACAGAACCAGTAGTAAAAAAAAAAATGAATCCCACCACTGCTAGCCATGCCAAGTTCCTGCAACTGTTCATTGTGTGTTTTATCCTGTTTTCCCTGTCCTGTTGTGTCCAACTTTAGGGCGGTTGCTGATCACCATTTCTTGGCCGAGGAAGCCAACATTGTCCGAAGACATTTTCCATGGTCATGTAGTCATCTTGGCTATATGCTGAGGTACACAGAATGTTGTTACCTTTCTATTGAAGTGGTACCTATTAATCTACTTGCATTTGCCTGCTTTCGAACTGCTAGGTTGGGAGAAGCTAGAGCAAGGATGGGAGCTCAACCATTATATGGAGTTCGGGTCTCGAACCCGGGGTATCAGTCTTCCAGCCAACAAACTCAGCATCTTTAACCATTGAGCCATCTTGCCCCATCTGAATAATTGGAGACATACATTTCAGCCAATCCCAAGGATGTCTCACACAATCTGTTTTCCACATGCGGGGCAAGCTATGTGCACAGAAGCATTCAACACAACACAAATCAGCAACAGTTTGGCCCCATAAATATTGGTAGCGACATTTTTTTGTCTGACATGGGGTGGTTTCTTCTAGGGTTCCATTTTATGACCATTTTTTAAAAAAAACTATAATCTTCCTTCTGCATTTAATATATTGCAGATCCATTAGTCTTTTCATGTATCAAATGTATTGAATTCCCACTTAACTCCTGCCAGTTTGTTGAAATAATGGGCACATAAAAACAGGCACACATACAGTAGGCTAGCTTGGTCACTCAACAGTGAGACACTAGTGAAGTGGACACAGCAGTGCCTACATTTTCTGAGTTACATGAGAAAAGTGCACCTTCTTTCCACTGTCCTCACCACTTTCTATAAAGGGACAATTGAGAGCATCTGTTGTATTTTATCACTGTGTGGTTTGGAGGTACTACTCTTTCAGACAGGAAGGCAGTGCAGAGTGGTAAGGACAGCAGAAACGATTATTGGAAGTTTGCTCCCTTCTATCCAGGACATAGCATAGAAGCAATGTGTGATGACCCGGAGCATGGCACAAAGGCAACACAGTCAGATAATAAGTAGGAATCCCTTTATTAGCTCCAACTTTGCCCCAAATGTCTTGGTTACCTTCTGGGCTGGAGAAAAACTCTCCCAGGAACAGCCTTTGGCTTCAGAAATTCAAGTCCAAAACATTGTCAACAAAAACTTTAACTATAAGTCCAATCAAGGCAAGAGGAGGTAATTAATCCAGCAGGGCAAGAAAAGGAATTCCAGAAGTGAAGGAATGGCAATAAATCAACCCAATTGGGAGGATGCCAGGAAGACAGATAACCACAGTCAACACAAGATAAACTCACATTTGTTCCCAGCAAATGCCGCTCTCAGCTGCCTCTCCTTTAAACTCTGTTCCCAGGTGTGCCCAATGAAGGTAATCAGGGCCCTTTCCTCCCCTGAAAACCATGCAACCCATGCTGCTCTTTCCTCCGTTCTTCCCTGCGTGTCCTAGGATGAAGAGAGGGTGGGCCTGGGTCTTCCTCTGAACTCCCTCTCCCTTGTTCTATCTTGCCCTTCCCCAGTTTCCTTCACAGCCAACGGAACCACACTCCCACTCCCTGTCAGCTGTTCATCTTCCTCTTCAGATTCAGACTCTGACAGGGGCATGACACGATGCTTGAGTATGGTCTGTAGTATCATCAAGGATGCTACTCATCCTCTCCATGACCTGTTTTCCTTGTTATCTTCTAGGAGGGGGCTTTGTGGTAGAAGCAGAACATCCAGATTCAGCCCCAGTTTTCTTCCATATAGCGTCAACTTTGTGAACTCCCAATCTTCCTCTTTCTGCTACATATTCAAGATGGACAGCAATTCGTATTTATATGTAGTTATATGACAGGCTGTAGGCCTATACATATGTGTGTATATAGCACGTCTATATGGATGTTATGTATGTGTACACTTTTCAGAGCAGGCAGCAGAATTTTATTTTTAATGTGTGCCAGAGTCCCACAGGAAAAAAATGACAATAAAGATTATCTTATCTATACCCTTGTACATACATGCATGCATATAATTTCACATTATGCTCAGTAATATCTTACAAGACAAGTTAATTATGGAGACTTACAGTCCCTGGTCGTGGATAAGGGATTCTTCCTTGATAGGGAATCAGTTGATGGTTTGGTCCTTCCTTGTGGGCAAACGGTCCATTGAACACTCGCTGAATGTCAGATAAGTGATAGACACAAACTGCTGAACCTTTAAATACCGAACTAAGGAATGGAAGGAAAACAGTAAATTAAACCAGATTCATTTATTCCGTTTTGTTACTTGTCTTGCAAATGCCATCTCTGAATCACTGTCACCTGCTTAAACATCAATTGTTGCTATTTCTGGAGTCATTCAATGGATATTTCCCTGGTTGGGTGTAAGGGTTTATTCTGCAACATCGTTCTGATTAGAGGCAGTCCTGGACCTACAACAGTTCATTTGGTCAGCATTCAAAGGGGCAACGGCACTGATAAAAGTGACTTGTGACTATTTTTCACATATAATGACCATTGCCACATCCCCGTGCTCATGTGGTCAAAATTCTGATGCTTGCAAACCAAAATATATTTGCCAAAAAGAAAAATAAATGCAGTGGCAACTACTGTAGCTTTTCCAACTCAGAGATAGGACTGATGATATTACCTAGTTGAATACCAAGAACCCCATAGACTTCCTCCTCCTCCTCCTCCTCCTCCTCTTCCTCCCTGCAAACCCCACTTCCTTCTAGCACTGATGTTACCTAGTTGGGTAATGAAACATCTGTAAGAAAAGAACCAAGATCAGAGAGCACCAAGGACCTCACAATCCTCCTCCTCCTCCTTGCAAACCTCACTCCCTACTAGCACTGATAATATTAACTAGTTGGGTAATGAAACATCTGCAAAAAAAAGAACCAAGCTCAGAGAGTACTAAGGATATCTTAATCCCCCTCCTCCTCCTCCTCCTCCTCCTCCTCCTCCTCCCAAACCTCCCTCCTTTGTAGCACTGATGATGTTACCTAGTTGGGTAATGAAACGTCTGCAAGAAAAGAACCAAGCTCAGAGAGCACCCAGGGCCCTTCATTTCAACCTTGAGCTACAAATATTCCCCTTTGTATGGTTTTGCCCATAAAATTAATTCATTCAGGAATATATTCAAACATATGTTATTTAAATCAATGGCTAGAATTCTATGCGGTAACATGTTCCTGAGATGGAATCAAAGCTATGGCTGTCAAATGAAATCCATTACATTGCCTGCTATAAATTATACTTGCACATCAACTTCAGAGTTAAAATATGTATTAAAATACATCTGAGGGTTTGTGGCAAAAGAAACTGAATCTGAATAAACCTAGTAGAGGCAGAATAAAATGTCTGCAGGATTTCTGCATTTCTTTGCCCAGCTTCTATGGCTGCAACCCATCTCCTCCCCCAGCACATGAATTAATCAAACCAAATTCCAAATTAAACATGTGTGGTCAGAGAAATAATATCACCCCATCTGTACTCTTAAAATTATTTCTGGCTCTTCACAGAGCTCAAGAGAGAGGCTCAATTGTTCCAATGAAGTTTCTTTTAAATAATAATAATAATAATAATAATAATAATAATAATAATAATAATAATA